CGCCAATAGGGAACGTGAGCTGGGCTGCGAGAGGCCAGGGCTTGATCGTGCGATGATTTTCTGACCTTCGCATGTTTCTGACCTTGTGTGTAGTACTAAACCCTCTCGATTGCCTTCTAGGTGTCAATCAAGTCTGACGCCGTGCAAGGATTGTCAGTCAAAGCCTCGTTGTCGCTGGTGCTGTCCAAGCCCGCACCAAGCCGATACCTCGCCAATGTAGGGCCCTTAAGAATTAGAATAGGGTTTCGGGGTATACTATACTATGATTGTAATATGGACCCCCCCAAAATAGTACGGGTGATTATTAAGACGCCTGCCTAAGGCCCTAAACCTGAAACCCTAAACCCTAAACCTGAAACCCTAAACCTGAAACCCTAAACCCTAAACCTGAAACCCCTGGCTGAGGAGCGCATTCTGGAGGCTTGTGGGGCCGTTCCGGCAGTACTGGAGTCTCTATGCAGGCGAAGCGGAGCTTCGAGTTCTGCGGTTTGGAGATCTGGGTGTTTGGGGTTTAAGATGGGGGCCTGGATAATTGCCAATAACTGTCTTGGGGGGTTCCTTGTCATAGTAGTAGTAGTAGTAGTAGTAGTAGTAGTAGTAGTAGAATACACCCCAAAACCCTATTCTAATGATTGAGGCCCCTATATTAGGGTTTAGGGTTTGGAGAATTTGCTGTTGAGTATACAGTAGCTAGAGATATCGTAACTCGCGGAGCGTATCAATCATCGAGTGAAAAGGTAGTTGGGTCCAAACTTGGATTCACGGTGCAGGCAACCGGTTCATCAACCAGACTACAGCAACAGTTGCATCTCTCACCTACGCCGTTGTAGCTGTACTGCTCCGGCTGAGATGCACGACCTCTCTTCTAGTTGCTATCAATTTCTGCAGGAACCTCGAGGCGTCTGGAAGCGTCCTCGCCACCTTGGTATCCTCACTGGCCTGCGAGACAGTCGAGCCGGAGCACGAAGACGACCGTGGCCCGCTTCCACACATGCAGAGCTCTGTAGAATGAATGTGTGTGTACATAAGCATTATACTTACACATATGTACACACACAAAGACATATGTGTTGTCACGGATGGTGTGGCGAGGTGGGCGGAAAGCCCAGTGCTTCTGAGATTTTGTCCTTTCTCAATCACATACCTTCTGCGGTCGAGAAGAGGGAAAACTGCGAGAGGTCCATCCTCCTATCTTCGCCCTAGTCAAAACAACGACTCGCATTCTAGTGTGCCTGATCTTGGAAAGAAGCAGTCTTCCGTGCAAAAGGGTGGGGGTGTTCCAAAAAAGCTGGAGCCCGTAACCCCAGAACCTGGCACCAAAAAGCCTACTTCCCCGTAACTCCATAGTCAGCCGCTGATGGGAGCCTGGAGCAATGCAGGTTTTTGGAAGCGAACGGAGAGGGTGTAACGTTCTTGGGGGTCATTTTCGGGCTATGCAAGGCTGCAGAGCTTGAAGTAGCTAGTCAATCGGAACATGTCGAACTGTGGAATATTTTTCATGAGCGGTCCGCCGAAGTCACCGAAAGAGGCCGGCGATGTGACAATTAGCAAGGCCATCCTCATCTGCTGCATCCTGCAAGCTATAACCCAAACAGAATCTCATAATAATAGTAATAATAACGAGTAGTAATAATAACAAATAGTAATAATAGTAATGATAATAAGACTGATAGTAATAACAATAACAATTCTAGTAATAGTAACTTAGCGACAGTAATTATCATAATGATAATAGTAATATCAATACTAGTAATAATGACAATCAAAACCCTAAACTCTAAACCCTAAACCCTAAACCCTATAATAACAACATACTCCTTACGCCTTCGCTCCCGAGCTTTGCTGCGCTTGCGTAAGGTTTTCGGCACTCGCCGGGTTCTTTGCTTCTGTGCCTCGGCGACGCAAGGGGTTTAGGGCCGTTTAGGGTTTAGGGTTTAGGTTTAGGGTTTAAGGTTTAGGGTTTAGGGTTTAGGGGTTTGGGTTTAGGTTTTAGGTTTTAGGGTTTAGGGTTTAGGGTTTAGCTTCCTCTTCCTGTGCTACAGAGATCTGAGCCGACGGCCTTAAACTACGACGCGTCACCGACGCAGCTGTTTCCTGCTGGTAAGCAGAGAGCTTATTGCTGTACAGTGGTAGCTAGTACTGCTTCTATTCTATGAAGGAAATTTTGACGCTGTTGTGGCATGTCTCAGTAATATAGAAGCTTGAATGATTGCCGATACTATTTCCGAGGGTTCCTATTGTAATTAGTCAAAGCTACATACACCAGGACCCTATGGCGAAATTTTGAGGCCCCTATAGACTACAACGTCGCATAGCATCTTGGCGCTGCTCACACCTGGTATGAACACTGCGAATCCTCTGTTACCGTGTGTTTGTTGGAACATCTACATCTGTATCACTTTAGCTTCATACTTATACCGCACGGCGCCATCATCACCACCACCTGCCGTTGTTAGTGTAATCATTCAGCTTCCGTTTGTGTGTGTTTTTTGCAGCATGTTCATCATTGCGACTACTTGGCCTACTAGTTCTGCTAAATACGCCGTACGGCTATCAGCACGGTTACGAAGATCATCATGAATCATAAACACCGGGGCATCATGCGTGATGCCGCTTGTGATTCATGGTAGGTCGCGAGCTTATCCACACCCTACAGCCCTAGGGACCGAACTCCTGCACCCCAAACCCCAAACCCTAAACCCTCAACCCTAAAGCCTGAGCCCTATACAGTTACACTAACCCCACAACCGAATCCAAAATCCGGAGCCCCGTGAAGCCCAAGGCGTCTCTGCGAGCGCGGCTCCCCTGCGTTAGGTGCGGCGCTAACATCGGCTGCCGCGCGTCCCTCGGCGTTGAGCGGCTTAGGGTTGACGGTTTCGTGTTTGGGGCTTTGGGTTTAGGGTTTAGGGCTAAGGGTCCAGCGGCTTTGGGCTGAGGGCTTGTGGCTGAGGGTCCAGAGCCTAGGCTTGGGGGTACAAGTACAGGTAGTTAAGCGTCGTAGGGCGATACAGGGCCAAGTTGTTGCTTTCAGAAGAAGCCTGTTCTGCAGTTTTGCTTGTTTGGCCTTATGAGTTCCTAAATCAGCGCAGTTAAAATCAAGTCGCCAAGGCCTTACATAGCTTTTCTTGGTGCAGATGTCTGAAAGAGGCTCTTCTGGATTTGGTGTTTCTACCCAAAACCCTAAACTCTAATTAATTAAGAGAACTAGCAAGCTCCTGGTAGTAAGGGACGCCTTGAGGATTGGTGGCTCTTCATTGCGGACTTCGGGAATCGGGGTAGAGCTTGAGGGGAAAATGGCGACTGCGAAGAGTTTCCACAATCGAAGCATGACTGAAGGGAAAGGACGAGGGGCTTTCAGGCGTCAGGTATTATTTCAGGGCTCTGAGCTTTTACTTGATGTGTGTGGGGTTCTGAATGGCCATGCCGTACTACCAGATGTGCAGCAGTGTCGAAAGCTTATGGCAACTTGTCCGGAAACCAAGCACTGCTCGGTCTCTGACAATCCAAGTCTGACCCTGGCAAGTGCGAATCGTAAGCACAGCAGCGTCCAGAGTGTCTAGAGGTCTCTCTCGCACCTTGGCGGCCGCGACGCCGGGCAGCCAAACAGCAACCACGCTCTTGGCCATGTACAGGCTCTATTTTGTGCGCGGCTTTCAGGATTGGAAGCTTAAGGTGAGGTTGCCAGCTCCCTTCACACCTACCGTGACGAATCATGTCAGGCAAGCATGTGAGCATGTGAGGTCAATACAGGCCAATGTGCCTTCGACGGCATTGATGAACACAGCAGCTGCCAGGATGTGCGCTTTGCATCCCGAGCTCTTCGAGTGCCTGCTGTCCGGGGATGTGACGGCACATGCAGAGTCGATCGCCTTGCTCTCAGCGATTTGCGGCGCGTCTGGTCGCCGGCGTATACCGGACCAGCCCTGCACCTGATCTTTCTTTCGTTGCCCAGTTGTCTGCTTTTGTCGCTCCAGGGTCTCCGTCGTCTCTCTCTCTCTCTCTCTGTCTTCCTCCTGAAGCCTCACTCAGGCGCCGTGCACCCCCACACTGCTCTTTCCCTGTCAGCGCAAGTCTGCAGCTCTGCTCGGTCGGACAGAAGCCCGAATGTCCAAGAACAGAACGGCCCCACAAGCGAGGCCGTGGGGCTGAGCCGGCACCTGACATGCCAGGTGGGCGGGAGGGCTCTTGCGGTGCTTCGGCTCCTCTTTCTTCCAGCAGGGCGTCTGGTTCCTGAGCTCGGGTCGACCTTGTCCGAAAGCGATTTATAAGTTTCGTGCGGCCAAGACTCTTTTACCCTGGCCGCCTCTAAACCCCAAACTCTCGTTAGGCCCTCAGCCCGCACACTGAAGGCCGAAATGCTGCCGCTAAACCCTACTATGGTTGTAAGGACTAACACCATCTGAGTCTTCGAGACACTTTCACGAGGAGCCCGCACTCCGCGCTGCGGCTGCTGAGCTAGCCGAGGACTTTGGGGCGCACTTCGCAGGCCCGCGTGGATAGTTACACTAAGAGACCCCAACGAACCACACCCTAACCCTCCAGGTACCTACTATATAGGGCCTTAGGGGCTTTGGTACCCTATATAGTAGGTAATTAACTGGGGGTTTAGGGCACAGTTTTTCAACATTTCCAACGCATGCCGCTGGCCAGTTGCATTTGCCTTCGCTCGTGCCACACCTCCAAAACCACACAGGCCTGATGCACATGTGACGTGTACCACAAGTATCTATAGACACGATAGATAGGAAAGACCGGTAAAAGCAACAATCAATGAGAAGCAGGGCAGCACATGTCAAGCTACGAAAACATCCTAGATGACCTCTACGTTGATGGTACACACAAACAGGAACTCGTCAGGGAATTTGCGTGTTTAAACAAATCGGATTTCGGAGGCCTCTGCCTCACCGGATTCTAGATTAGATACATGCAGGGAGAGCCACCAACAGCAGGAGTCCGCAAAGGGTCCAGAGGCGCAGATGGAATTAGGTAAACTCTTGGCATGTTGGATCTCTTCGATCCAGCGAACTCACCATCCAGCTCGCAGTTGCGTGATGCTTCGCCCTTTGCCAGGGAATGATGATGATGGGAGGGTGGAAGGCTGGATGCGCAAGGCTCATCTCGCCCAGTGGCTCATCGAAGCTTGCAGGGCACCCAGTTTTAGAGGCAGTTTGGGAACAATTAATTAGTCTGTCTTGTCCGCTGGGCCGCTGTCGCCATAGCAGGTCGCACTGATCTGTAGTCTGTAGTCCATTGTGGTCATACTCACTTCTCCCAGCCATCAAGTCAAGGGTCATGCGGCTAGTGGTAGATCAAGCACTCAACTCGTCAAGCGCCACGGTTTTCATATGGTTGTTCCCGGGATCCGTGCGAGGTCAATCGGGCGAGGACTTGGCCACACGTGCTGCAGCCGCAAGGGCCATGGGACGATTCGCCGACGACCCGGTGCAAAGTTCGGGCCTTTTGGAGTTGGAAATGCATCTGACAGGAAAGTAGCACGGACTCTTCATCAATGCGACAGCGCGGAGTGAAGTTCTTTGCTTTTTCTCGGAATTCCCTGTAGGTGCTGCTGCGTGGCCTGCAGACCTCAGCGGCGGATGCACTGGTGGAGCCCTGATCGAAGTGAGGAGTAGAAGGTTCCGGTAGCACTGTTATGCATGGTACATGGTATCCGAATTTCCTTCCTGCCCTACACCTCTGATCTAACCGCGATGGGTACTGCACTCTGACTCTGAGCAGACAAGGATCCAAAGCAGGTTGCATACCAGAACTACCGCTAAACGCGAAGGGGGAGCAACGATCCCATCACAAGCCATGAAGCCTCACATCGGGGGCCTCAGAACGGCTAGAGGTTAGCACCAAAGTGACAGGAAGAGCCTACGACGAAGGTGTTGAGCGCTATCTCTGGTACTTAGTTCAGGCTCTGGTCTTCAAGAACTGGGACTCTGAATCCCCCAGTCAAAGACGGCCTCAACATCGGTACGAGCCAGGGACCGGCCCAGGTGAATTTGGAGAAGCCGTCTGAGGATTTATCTCGTTTGTTGGTACTGATTGAGATGCTCTGATGAGATCCTTGTTCCATTATCATCATCATGTCTGAATACCAAGTATCGTTGAAGTTTAGGGCTCCTGCTGTTCTTTTCCCAGTACGCCTGCGCCGACGCGGTGCGCCTGCCGGGAGCTGCCGCCGCCCGCCGGGGACTTCTCCTCGCTGCCACGGGCAGCACCGCGGACGCAAGGGAGCGGTGGTTTAGGGTTGAGCAGTTTGGGGTGTAGATGCAATGGGGCTTCGGCGTCGGACTGTGGAGTCTGGGATGTAGTCAAAGGTCGAATATTGCGGACTTGGATGTTCTTCTGCGGTTGTCGGTCGGATTTTGACGCAGAACTGGGGCAGCAGGGCTCTGCGGGACTTGGGGAGGGTCTTGGGGTTTAGAATGCAGAGGTTTGGAGAATTGACTCACTAGTTCAGAGTAGGGCCTCTCTCAAGGTTGGAATTTTACCGGGCTTCATGCGCTGAAGCTAGCACAGGCAGGAGTTTCGCATCTTAGCCACTCGCTGCTTAGCCAACTCGGCACTTGCAAAGCCTAGATGAAGCAGCCAAGAACTACTCTACGCCCCTTATCGCTAAACCCCTGGCCCTAACCCTAAACCCTAAACCCTAAACCCCTTATCCAAAAACCCCTGGCCCTAAGCCCTGAACCACTAAGCCCAGATCCGGGCTGTCATCAACCAGGCTTGGCGCGGCTCGCGCCAGGTGCAGGCCAAGCCTTCTGGAGTCCAGAGCAGATCATGAGGGCTTCTATATTTAGGGTTTCGGGTTTAGGGAACTTGAGATATCGACAGATACAGACATAGACTCAGAGATGGGCAGATAGATAGATACATCGAGTTCGGTTATGTTTGGATATCTTGGGAGTCCCCGAAGGCCCCGTCAAGGCTTCGCAGGCTTGTGGATTTCCGAGAACCGGTGCCCAGAAGCTACAGCAGTCGAAGACTCCAGGATTTGAGCCCTTCTGCAAAACCTCGTGCCTAGAGTCCCACGCTAGATCCGCAAAATCCTAAGACCGATAGGAGGAGGCAGGAGGACTTATTCAGGAGCTACGTAGGCGATGTCGTTTCGGATCTGCATTTTTCATACCGGTTCACAGTAGTTCATACGGGAGTTTCAGAACAGAAGGGCTTCGCCATTTCACAGACTCTTTTACTGTGAGATTTTTGACTTTCAGGCACTCCCAGGTAATGTAGGAACCTGATTAAGAAACCTTAGCCCTATAACCCCAATATATTAGAGAATTAGAGTTCATATTAGGAACCCGAATAAAGGCCCAGGGTTTCTTAATCAGGTTCCTACAATATCATCAGATGTTAAAACTTTCCAGCCTAAACCCTAAACCCTAAACCCTGAACCCTAAACCCTAAACCCTAAACCCTAAACCCTAAACCCTAAACCCTAAACCCTAAACCCTAAGCCGCAGGCGCCTACAACCCGGAGGCTCTGGTCCCTTTGCTGCGAGCCGCAGAGCAGCTTCCGCTGAGACCCGGGCCAGGCGAAAGCCCCTCCAGCCTTCGGAAAACTCTTTGGGAGTTTAGGGTTTGGGGTTTAGAGAAACTTTTGGGAGTTTAGGGCTTAGGGTTTAGAGAAACTTTTGGGAGTTTCGGGTTTAGGGTTTAGAGAAACGTTTGGGAGTTTAGAGTTTAGGGTTTGGAGTTTAGGGTTTAAGGCATTACGAGGGAGAGCAGGGGGGCTGTTGCTGTTGTGGTGGTTGTGTTTGGGATTTCAGGGCTTTTTGGTGGGACTTTGCATAGTGTCCGAAGGTTTGAGGCTTGTGAAACGAGTTCGGACTAGCAAGGGTTTACGGACAAAGAGGCGTCGGAAGGCCTCATTTGGTATAGCCCCCAGCGGCCCAAGCGAAATGGACTGACTTCCGAGCCTGTTTGTGTGCAGGGAGGGCCATCTTTGGGGCTTTAGTAGGGTGTGGTGCTTGTGCTGGGAGCTACCCTTACAACCTCTCGAGGTCGTGCACACGGTGGCACGTCCTGTGTGCAAGTTTTGCGTCTCAAGGTGAGATTCCTGAGATTCCGAAGTCTCATGAGGCCACGAGGCGCGTGGAAAGATTCTCAGCTTGTTTGCAACTGCTACAAGGACCTCCATGATCTGCAGGTCTTACCGGTCTCCCAAGCCCGGCTCCAAAAACCTTCAAAGCCCCCATCATCTGGGCCCTACATGCTTGAAGTATGGACCCCTACAGCCTTGACTTTGGTCAGGTTCCGTGACTTTGGAGGAGTGTATGGAGCCAGTGCCTTGCCTCAACGGAGACCTGCGCTACATGTAGGTTACAGGGGAGAAAATAGGGTTTAGGGTTTAGGGTTTAGACCTCTAAAAATTAGCCGAGTGGGTTTGAAGAACACCCGCCAAGCAAAGCTTGAGGGCACTTCGGTATCGTTCTGACGTCGATGTTGCGGACCTAGGGTCCCGACGTCCCTGAATGGACAGGAACAGTAGGATTGGGCTGTGGCTGTTCGGGAAGACCTTGCAAATCCAGAAAATCGTGAACCTCAACACCCGCGCAACTAGTCGAATTAAACCCCTGGCTAGACTAGACTTTCCTTTGCCCTAAACATCCCCCAAAAACATTCTAAAGCCTGACTCAAAACGTGTGTTGAAAGCCTTAAGACCTAACCATCCCTCAAAGCTCCGAAAGCTCTCAAGGTGTATCTTTCTGCGGCGAACCGGCCGATCGAGCTGCCCTCGTCGCAGTGCCTCGGGAGCCTCTTAGGCCTCTCTGCGGCTCTGGCCCTGCGGAAGGAGGGGGGCCCTCCGGGGTGCAAAATGACGAGCATCAGGTCGAGTCTTGGTGTCAGGCTTTGATTTGGTTGTGTGACGACTACGACTATTGCAATGTTGATGGTAGGTTTTCTTCGAGCTAACTACGATGATTACTGGGTGAAAGGGGTTTGGCGTCACGCGCGATAACTCAGTTGAGATTCTTGGAAGGAGTGACATTTCGATTTGGCGGACTGCCGTGGAGCGGGCTAGGGCAGGGTTTAACTAGACCTCTAGGGGTGCAGCATCGATTCGAAGCATGGTGCAAAAAGCTCATGTTTGTAAACTTACACATACATGTGCAAACATATCTACGCAGTGCATCCGGATGCCAACCAATTCCAGGGAACGAGCCGCAAAGGTGCAGCAGAAGCAAGCTTCAGAACTGCGACCGTGTAGCAAGTGCGCCTAATCGGCCTACCCCACACGAAGGTAATCAGAGTGAAAGGCGCTCGGTTGCCAGGAGGTTGGGTCCCGGCCATTGATTTACGGAGCGCTTTGCAAGCTTTTTGCCGGGGCCTTGGACAGGCTGCCTTGGAGATGGAACCCTGCAGTTTGCGCTGCATTTTGCTTTGGGGCGCATGTTTGAGTGCAGGAGCAGGAAGAGACGAAGAATCGCACCGACATGTGGGGGTGGTCGACATTGTAGTGTAGAGCATCTTCTTGATGGTCTCAGCTCGGCTCACCAGATTCACAGGTCTGCAAAAAGTCAACGAGCCGTTTCAATGCAGCTAGTTGGTGTGCTGAGGTGGGCGTCGCCGATGCTGCTTGGGCATCGATCCAAAGCCGGCTTGCAGGTGCAGATGAGGCAAGGACGAGGATGGGGTTGGCCCAGGAAGAGTGGTTGAGGTCAGGTCGCGGATTCTGTCAGTTTCGCTTCTCGCTGTGCCTTGAAGCCTTACACCCCCAAGGCTAGGTACCAACTTCGGGGTACTTGTGAATTTCTCTTCTATATCTTCATACAGAAGCCTCACTAATCACAAAAGGAGAAACTAGACGGATCTAAGAGGATGAGGGCTCCAAGCGCCAGGGATGGCCTTGCGGTGACCCGGTGTTGGGTGACGTTGATGTAATGGTGCGCTGCGCTGAGAAGCTGGGCCGCCTGTCACCTTTTGGGAAGTTCTCTAAATTAGGTAGTCACTCGTAGGGTCAGTTTGGGTTCCCGACACAGTCTGGCACCCTTATATAAAGGACCCTTAGAAGGACCCTAGCTTAGAGAACTACCCATCTGTCAGGCGCATTCAGTAGGCAGACCTTGCTCGATGTGTCTTGTCGTTGTTTCGATGTCTCTTGCTGTTGCTGCTTCAAGCTGATCCAAAGGCGTACATATTGCCCTTAATCTTTCCGCATGTTACAGACGGAGTGAGTATACTTCCCTGAAGTACAGAGCATCCTTGACGCGATTTGAAGACTTGCTCCTGACTTCTTAAAGAGTGCCATCCTGGTTGTTGAGGTTGAGTGTTGGGTTGAGAACCATGGCTGCTCTCGTGAAAAGCATAGCTATCCCAAGCTCAAGCAGCTCGAGATCCAGTCGCCTCAAGACAGCTTGGGCTTCTGCTTCCTCTTTCCCACATGTGTAGAATTTCGGTATCTTAGCAACTCACTCACTCGACCCTAAAGCCTCCAGCCCAAACTCGCAGATGATGTCTACGCTAGTCTAAACCCTCATATATACATAGACACAGCTTCCTGCTGTCTCTAGAGTAGTCCAGGCTGTTCAGGTGCCCGAGTTTCCATTCTTGAGCGCCTACTAAGTAACTGCGAACCCCTGATGCCAGGATTCAACTCCTTTCCCTGAACCCAACTCCACAACCCCCGAGGCCAAGCCCTTGGGTGCTACATAGTGCCCTACGTTGTGCGGTACATATTTAAGGCTCAGCCACACCGAGTGGCCAAAGCCTTCCGAGCCTTGGCTGCAGGCTTCCAGGTGTTCCTGTTTTGGGTGTTTGGCGGGTGTTGAGTGCTCCTGGGAATGTTTGAGTGTCTTGGCCTCGGTCCTGCCTTGGTTCTAGAGTCACAGGGTTTCGATGGTGCATACATGTAATTTTGCTCATGGTTGAGTGGTGTTTCGCTTCGGCTTTCGGATTCCGCTGCGATGGTTCAGCTAAGGCTTTGGGATTGAAGGAGCTTTGGCCTCATAGGCACTTATCCAATCGGCCGGTCTGGGGCTGGGTTTGATCGTTGGAGTCTAGGGTTTAGACCGTCGGAATCTAATCCTGTATGGATGGGCTCAGGTGGTGGGTTTCCTTAAAGCGCATGGCGCACGAAGATCGGACGCTGCTGGAACTTTCTGGCGGTTCTTTTTGCCTGTCTTCAGGGAGGTGGCCGGAAGTTTCGGGGCGACCCAGAGAAGAAGCTAGTGCGCGCTGAAAGCTCTTGCGACCTCCAGCCGAAGAGTCGAAGAAGAGCCCGTTGCAGTTAAAGCCTACTAGTACAGCATAGTGAATGAAAAAGTAATGACTTAGCGCTATAAGTGTTAGACTAAAGAAGCTTCACTGTCCTTGCTGAGAGCTCAATCTCGAAGGCAAGCTCAGCAGGAAAAAGGAGACAGGTAGCCCGAAAGCATACCCTCACACCTCAAAGCCCCAAAGCCAAAGATTTCAACACTCCAGGCTGCTGAAGCTCCCAAGCTGTAGAATCAAAGTACCAACCGCCACCTCCTCAAAGTCAAAGGTCTTGAGGCCCGGCCTGCGCAACCCTGATCCCTAAACCTTTAGACGGAAACCCAAAGATCAACAGCCTTGCTTCAAAAGCTCCGAGGAAGAGCCACCTTGTCGCCTCCCTCGCCGCCCTCCTTTGGCCGCTGCTGGGGTCTCAGACGTCTTGGAGTGCCAAGCTCTAGCAATGAGAAAGAGGCTTCACGGCGTACGATGATGAGGATGCTGGCAATGAAGATGTAACTGTTTCTACTGTTCGAGCGTGGTGATTGGATGATGATGGCGCTTGTGATGATGACGATGATGATGATGGTGATGATGATGGTGATGGTGATGGTGATGGTGGTGATGATGATGGTGGTGTGGTGGTGGCGGCGGAGAAGAAGACTGTGATGATGATGAGAAAGAACAGGGCTAGCGACACTAACAGTCATCATCATCAGAAGTCGAACGTGTTCTGTCCTAGCATGACGTGGGTGGAGTATGGATGCCATTGCTACTGTGAGAGGATCCTGTTTATTATTATTAATTGTAACAAGAATAACAGTTATTATTATTTTTTATGTTATTGTTAATAATAATAATGATGATTATTATTATACTATTAGCATCAAGGTTCCCATTATCTTAATTTAGGTGCTATTCATTAGTCCAAGGGTTTGCGATTCCCTGGTTTACTGTTAAATGCCAAAGTCCGCCCTGCGGGTTTCTCCCTCTTCTGGCTTTGCAGTGCAGACATGTGGAGGATTTCGGCCCTGTAGCTGTGATATGATAAAGGGTTTAGGGTTAAGGGTTTAGGGTTTAGGGTTTTAGGGTTTAGGGTTTAGGGCTTCCTGGCCGGAAAAAGGTGAAGTCCTGTAATGGAGCGAGAACTTGAAAAGGGGTGGCGTCCGGCAAATGGAGCGAGAACTTGAAACAAGATAGCCGATAGACTGGCCAAAACCCGACACGCATCGCTACTGTCCGAATCGCCTAAACCCCTAAACCCCTAAACCCTAAACCCCTTAACCCTAAACCCTTGTTGAGTCGTTGTGCAATGCTGGCAGGCTCGAGCTGGACACGAGCTGCTGGAGCGAAGACCAGGCTTCGTGTTCTCAGAGCGCTGACGAGGGACTGTTGGGGTATAGCGAATTGGGATGCCTCGTTGGGCAGAGGGTTTTTGGTAGCGCATCCTCTATTTGGAGTCTCTGTTTTAGGGAGACTTTAGGGGGTGTGATAAGGTGTCTGAAAAGTGGGGTACCTTTGTCGGGCGGGGTCCTCCAAGGGGTAGGTGGAGGTGGGAGGGCGAGCAGGGGAGAGATATGTTGGCATGGTCTCCCCAGCTGTAATTTAGCAGCCTTAAAGTCATTCGAAGAGGGTTCCGGGGTATGATGCAGTATAGCTACAATAAGGAGCACCGCGGCATGGCATTGGTAACCATTCAGACCCCAAGCCAGTGCTATCCGCATTGCTCTTGCTTTTGTCTTGGCAGTAGTTGTGGGTCAAGGTTGACTCAGGCTGCAAGCAGCTCTGAGCAAGCTCGTGCTCAAAAATCTCCAACCCCAAGCCCCCCAGCAAGCAGTAGAAAGCTTAGATGATGCCTGGCTGATCAAGTGAGCAGGGGGTTAAAGGCTCACGGCCCAGGCTCCAAGACACCTTTCCGACCTTTCAGGTTTCAGCATGCAAGCAGGATCAACCGGTGGCAGACTGATAAAGATCCCAAGCAATATCATAGACCGAGCTTCTCGTGCAGCCCAAGCCCTGGAGAGCCCAAAGCCTTGAATCCCTCCCCCTCAGGGCCTGGTTCTGCGCGGATGTTTGGTGAAGCCGCTCGCTGGTCGCGAAGTTGAGGGGGGGGTTCTCGTTTGCAACAGCAGTTGCGGGAATACATAGGACTTGAGACTTGCCTAGATCATGTATTTTGCAGTCTTGTGTGTTGCACTTAGATCACGCCCCATCTGGTGTTCCTGGTACCGCACTTGCCTTCTTCGCTTTCCGCCTCGGTGGCTCCTCGTGGCTTTTTGTCCGACTCTGCTGGTGAGTTCCGGCTTTTGTTGGCCTGTTGGCTGGCTGGCCTTCGGTTCGTTTGCTGCTGCTGCTGCTGCTGCTGCTGCTGCTGCTGCTGCTGCGGGGCTGTTGCTGTGGGTGGCGGTCGTGGAGACAGCGGCAGAAACCTTTGCAGTCGCCCTACTTAGTAAATCATAGTAACACAGGGTGACTGTAGTTGTGCGTGTTGTCGATGGTAGGGGTGGTCTGGCGGCCTTGGTTTCGGGCTCTGCAAACGTGTAAGACCTTCAAACCACAGAACGTAGGTGGTGTTGACGTGTCCGACTTGCGGTTCGAATTAAACCACATTGCAGACAAAGGTATGTTACACACTCCACTGGCTGACATAGTACAGCATGTTGGGGGTAGCAGCCGGCACACCACGTAGCACGGCACATCTGTTTGCTAGTGCAGCGAAGGCACGCGCAACAAACGGGCCTGCATTGCCTCAATCGTCAAGCCCGTGATCATGTGCCCTCAACTTCTACTGGTTCTTATGCCACAGGCTGTGGCTCCTTAGTGCAAAGCTCAAAAATCGATGTTCTTTCTGCTTGTGAGGCTTGGACACTTGGTTCCCGAGCTGTGCACCGAGGACGACTGCGCCACTGGGCAGCCTCAGCTAATGAAACGAAAAACAGCAAGCAACATTTACAGATAGTGAGCTGCCTTGGAAAACACCATAGATGTTTATACTGACGATGCACAGTACAGAGCGGCAGAAGAGCCCCCGCATACCGCGGCTGTTGCCATCCACGGTCTGTGCCAATGAACCTCCGAGCAGCGTAGCTTACTAAGCAGCTAAGAGGCCACTGGGATCTGCTGAATTTTTCTTCGTTGGGTTTGCATAGGCAACCTAGCCCCGGCCAGGAATTGACCCATGAGGATTAATGCAGCTCCTGTATAATCCACGGAACAGAGCAGAAGCCGCGTCAGTCTTTGGACCGTCGTTAAGATTGTTAGTGTGATTGCTACTGCAGCGAGTTCCATTTTTGTCAAGATTGTTATTAGCATAAGCCAGGTTTTTTGGGGCTGGGGTCTTTGAGTGACGAGAATGGGCATGATAAGATTCGTTGAAGATTCAGCTTTGCCTGCCCCCTTTTCACAGGAAATGCTGTCCGAAGATCTTCCTCAAGCGGAAGGACGCCGCGTCAAAAGTCGAAGCCCCAAGCCCGAAGCCAAAGCAGAGCTAGGCTGCACAGTCGTGTCTTCCATATGGGAGTTTCCGAAAATTAGGGGTTCCTCATTTGGGGGTCCTTATATTAAGGATCCTATTCTTTAGGGTGCTATATTAGGGTCCCCAATTTTCGGAAATCCCCGTATGTGCGCTCCTTCGAGCTCGCTTCAGGAGCTCTAGGGTCATATCAGAATATCGAAGGACCCGTAAAATCCGAAAAGCTTCCCTAGAGCAAACTTGTGCTGGCAGGATCAGCCATGTCCGACACTTCTCTCGCAGCAGGCCGTAGTTAGGTTGCTTTAAAACCCTAAACCCTGAATCCTAAACTCTAAACCCTAAACCCCGAACCCTAAACCCTAAACGCTGAACCTTAAACCCTGAACCCTGAGCCCTAAACCCTAAACCCTAAACCCTGAACCCTAAACCCTGAACCCTAAACCCTAAACGAGACGAGCTGCTTGGGAGGTCGGCTTCTTACGGTGCTCTTGGCTCCCTACCTTTCTCTGGGTACGACTTCCCTGCAGCTCTTGGCGGCTTCGAAGCACCCAAAAAGTCTTTTCCGGACCACCTCAGGGATGCTTTCGGGTCGGGTTCGAGAGGTTTGCCAGGAATTTCGCAGAACTTTGGCTTCCGATTTCGGAATTGGCTTGTGCGCCCTTGACAAACCTCCCAACTCGACACCCTAATCCCGAAAACTGGATCGCGAAAGCCTTGCCCCAAGCCAAACCCTGACCCAAGATTGAAGCCGCAGACTCAACGCCCATGTGCTTAGGAGTTTAATGTAAGGGCCTAAATAATTACCTGTGTTGCGGGTTCCTTATTCGAGTGATAGTATACTGTACCCCACAGCCATATTCTGATTATTAATGCCCCTACATTAGAAGGAACCCAGAGCTCTGACCCATCCCCTAGAAGATCAAAAGCCCAAAGCCTAAACACAAAAGCCGAAAACCTTCCAGGTCACCATAAGAAACCGCAACACCAGATGATAACCCGCCCATCCTTTGGCCTGCCGGTGGTGTAACTTAGTGTCCGATTGAATAGGATCCCATTCTTCCCATTTTTTAGGCTTCACATTGGACCCTCAACCCTAAATTAATCCTAAGCCCCGAACCCTAAATCCCAAACCCAAAGCCCGAAACCTTACGAGTAAACCCCAAACCCCAAACGGCCCTCTAGCCTACCTTAAGATCCCAAAACCTACTTTTTTGTAGGGTCCCTATAAATCCCATATTAGGGTGTATAATAGGAACCTACAAAAAAGTAGGCTTGGTAGTTTCAGGTATAACCTAAACTCACCAGGTGAAGCCAGGAGACCTTTGCCTTGCTTCCGCTTCCCTGCACCGTGGCCAGCGACCGGATACCTTCATGGCCTGGCCTCTCTCCACTGCATTACCCTTAGGGCTTGGGGTTTAAGGGTTAGGGTTTAAGGTTTAGGGTTTAAGGTTTAGGGTTTACGGTTTAGGGTTTAGGTTTAGGGTTTACGGTTTAGGGTTCCAGGTAGGGGCCTTAATAATTAGAATAGGGGTTTAGGGGTATACTATACTATAATCATTATCAGGAACCCCCGAAATGCTATCGGTAATTTCTTTCGGCGGCTTTTATATTAGAGTTCCTTTACAGAAGGTTTCTATAAGGGCGCGGTTTACTGCGAGGGGTACTGTATGGGTTCCAAAAAGGGCTCTATGATATAGGGTAGGGGCCGTAATAAATGGAATAGGGTTAGGGGTATACGGTATTATTTGATACTAGAGTTGCAATAAGGGCGGCAACGGGATGTTGGTGGTAAATATTTCGACTCCTACATTAGTGTTTGCATCTCGCTTTAAAAATTTGCTTTCGCGAATCGAACACCCACACACATGTGTCGCCTTATCTGCATACGACCAGTGTGTCTTAGGTGAGATACTACTGCAGATGAGTGTGCGTACGAGGCTTCAGAGGTGTTAGTCAGAGGTTTTAAGATCACTTCAATGCTTTCCTTCATCCCTAAAGCTGCTTCTTTTGTTGACTCAGATACCAGAACTCCTGAACCAATGAAAGGTCTCGTCTGCAAAGCCTCGACCAGGAGCCCTGACCCCGGCTTACCCGAAAATCCCAGATGCCCCTGAGTCCTCACAGAATCGCCACGAAATAAACTCACTATAATCTACCTCAGAAACCTGAAACCAAAAATCAAGAAATGTAGTCGGGTAGCCCAAAAGCCGGTCGGAACGACGGGGTCCCTCAAGGCTCGTGTTGGGCGCCGCCCTTCGTGCCAGCGGCTCCAAGGGGGCTGAGCTGGAGGAGGTTCAGTATTTGGGGGGTAAAGGTTTCGGCATAGGGCTTATGATTTGGGGTTTGTCCCTTTACGTAGGGATGTTGAGCTCTCCGAGTCGATCGTTGTGCTTTGAAAGGGATGTGGGGCTGCTGGGCGCGCATGACTAGATGGCGAGACAGTTGGAATCCTCATCCCCGAATCTACGAAAGATCTTTTCAAGGCCTCAAAGAGCCTGTGCAACTTCACGTCGCAAGCCCACACTGGAAGGTTCGTGAGGACCGTCTGTTCCCGACAAGGAAAGCCGTACCTTCATAAGGTTTACACTGCGGATACAAACTACGCTCTTACTGACAGGTCGTGCGTTAATCAGAGGCTTACATGGCCCTGGGACATGCAGGTCGCCCTGGAGAGCTTGATGGAGGCTGCACTGCCGCTGCTGCCTCTTCGCACGGTGGCATCGCTTGCCGCAGCAGTGCTCGAGCAGCATAGTTGAGACAGCATCCGATAAAGTCCTACGAAAGCGTCTCATACCACTGCAGAACCATAGGCAACCCTGCTTTAGTAGGAATCTCAAAACGGATGTCTCAATAATGGAGGGTGAATGGAAGTCCAAGCAGGTCAAGGGTGGAGGGAAGAAAGGAAATAAGTTTAAAGGAAGCAAGACACGAGGGCTCACAGGAAGGCAGACCGGAACGACGGGAGGAAAGAAGGAACAGGAAACGACCGAAGGAAGACCGGAAGGCCGGGAAGGAAGACAAGAACGACAGAAAGAACAGCAGTGGCCACTGGTAGATATGTATCGTGAGCTTTTTTGTTTTGGTCGTTGATCTTGTTGCTACGTTTTCACCAAGCAGCAAGAAAAAACCAAGCCAGCCCAAGCAAAGCCGCCAGTATGCTTTCGTCAGGCACGAGCCCTCCCCAACCCTCTTTTAAAGAGGCACGCACCAGCCAACATATCCAGAAACCATTAAGATGAAGGACGAAAGCAAACATAATACAAAGGACCACCAACGACCCCACAAAAACTCGCGCGGTGGCATTCCGGGAGCAATTCAACTATTCATTGAACTGCCAAACCCTAAGCCCGACACCTTTCAGACTTGGAATCTCCGGGGGCTCATAAAGCATAAGTAGTTGGAGTCGAGTCACTCGTCCCCTAAATAGAGTTACTTGCGCCCTAATAGTTATCATTACGACACTGCTTCTATATGACTTGCTAAGTGTTTAGAATCCTGCAAAGGTTGGCCGCGCCGTCACACGCGCCGCAGCGCTGCCCGAGCGAGCCGCGTTTGCCACGGAAGCGCTGGGGCAGGTGGACATCGTAGTGCATAGGCTTTTAAGTTTTAAAGCAATGCTTTTAAATTAAAGCAGCCTATGCACTAATTATGATTGGCTTTAAGGGCCCTCCGGTGTTCGAGGGGGATTGGAGAGCTTCGGGGCAGTTCGTCGGGCTAGCAGGAGCTGCTGAGTCTTCAAGGTTCAAAGTCGCCTGCAAACAGTGCTTTGCCGAGCCTGGCGTGTCCTGGTAAGGTGCGGCATGGTGCATAAGTACGCTCATGTGCGGGTAGATGAATACTGGCTTGTAGGCATACATATGATCACAATAATCGTCCGCTGCTTCAGGCTACCCGGGCACTTCGGGGGGCGGCTGCACAGAGCATGGCATACACTGGTGCTGATGAGGCCCGGACCGGCGCTCACCGCAACATGCCCTCCCGTTTGTAAAAATGCATCCGGACACCAAATCTTCAGGCTAGAAGTCCCAAAATTCCAGCATCCCAGAAGCCTCAGTAAGAATCCATGACGAGGAGTGGAGGTGGCTGAAAGAGGATGGAGCTGCAGAACTTGGCTCGGCATTGGGTTGGCTGCTGGCGACGGTGGAGGATGCAGAGGCGCGGAGGGGCTTAAACTCTTAAGCGAAGACAGAGTGGTTCAGTATCTATCAGCATCACGGTCATTGTTTGATTGACATCGTTACGCCATATTTACTATCCTTATCTGGTATTAACCCGACTACTTGTTGCTGGCATTGAGATCATTAAAGAACTATTCAATATTACTCTATATTACTACGGTGCTGGTGATGGCTCCGACGATGATGGGGGTGCGGCCGCTGAAGTTTCTGGGTCATGAAGGTTTTCCGCTTAGGGATGCTGCTGCGTCCACCGAAGCTGCTGACCAGATTGCTGCAAGCTTTCTAGCCGCAGCGTCAAGCCCTCAGCTGCAACCTCAAACCTCTACGTACTCATGTGAACCCCCGCAAACCCCTAAACCCTAACCCCTAAACCCCTAAACCCCTAGACCGCCTAGACCCCTAAACCCCTAGACCCCTAAACCCTAAATCCCTGAATTGGATGCTTTTCTCATAGAGCTGAGGATGCCAAGGATGTTCTCCTCAGCGCAGTGGTCTTGGAATATTTGGAGGGCTGCCGGCTTCGCCAGGCAGGGCACTGGTCCTCCTTGGATTTTTGCGGGGAGTGGGATAATATAGGGGCCTGAATAAGTGCAGGTACTATTTTGGGGGGTTCCTTATAAAAAAAATAGTAATAATATTATTACTATTATTTTTATTATTATTCTTATTATTACATAGATTCTATTGCAGTATACCCCTTGCATTTGCGGGGAGTGGGATATAGTAGGTATCTCTTGAGGAAGCTCTGAGCCGGATCTTAATCCCTTGCGACCTCTGGAGAAGCCTCCTCTGAGTCCGACGAAGAGAAAGGGAGCCCCTTAACCCCAGACCCTACCTGTAGTCTCCATTGTAGGTCCTTTTTTTTGGTTTAACCAGTTATATGTTAAGGATTTTATAAGGTATCCCTCAAAAGGAACTACAATGGAGACAACAGGTAAGCAGTATCCGAGTCAGGTCGCAGAAAACAAGTCGGCCAGCGAGATCGTGTGCGAGCCGGGGGATTGGGCCTGGTTAAGCCAATGCCTGCCTTCTCCGATGTGGATGGCACAGCGAGTGGAGGCCACGTTGGGCTCTAGTGGTGTGCGGTTTTGGGGCCTTCGTGTAGTCTTACCTAGGGCCAGGATGGCCATGATACCGAGCTGGGATGCCTGCACACGTCAACGCGTGAAGGGTGGCGGTGGAAGATGGGCTTTTCAGATGCCTGTGCAGGTCTTGCTGGGGCACGCCCTTCAGGAGCTTGGCTGCGCTTTCAGTTCTCCGCTTGCTGATCAGCTGTGCTGCAGTGCTCGCAGCCGTGGTTGCAATGTGCCACATCGGAACGAAGCCTGATGCATCTATCCAGCTGGAGCCAAGGTGCACATTGACGGCCTCACAATGCACAGCCGGGCGGCTGCTGGCGGGATGCTGGCACTGATGACAACCTGCTTAGCAGAGTCCAAAGCAGCAGCAGCTTTGCTCAATGGAACCCGGTAGAAGTCCTACCCTAAACCCGAAACCCTAAACCCTAAGAACATCTGACGATGGATCCGAGAGCTAGGCTCTTCTGGGCTCCACACGAGGCTCTTTCCTTCTTTGCTTTGAGGGTCTGTGGCTCCCTGTGCCTGAGGGTGCTATGGTCAGCAACCACGTCGTTGCCGGCATCGCAATGAAGTGGCAGCAATCCGCCATGTCGGAAGCCTGTCTAGAAGCAGGCAGATCTTGAAGTGAAGCCTCTTCAGGGCATGTTGAGTGAACAGCGTCAGTTCCAGTCATACAGCCGCGGGGGCAGGTGAAGTGCGCCTTGTGGAATGCATCGCCCTCTTCCTGCTACCTGCCACTGATCTCTGCTTGCCTGCACTTTCGGGGTCTTGCACGGGCCTGTTGTCAACCGTGGCTTGTCGTGGCTTCATGTTTTGAGTGCCTGCTGGGCTTCTTGCACTCCACTTCAAACGCGTAGCACAAAACCACACTGCCACTAAAGCCTAAACTCTGTAGTACCAGAAGAAGATAGGAAGCAGGTCCTTTACAGGCCTCTCCGAGCTCCAATGTATAGAACCCTAAGCACTGGGATACTCGTCAAAGGTTTAGAGTTTAGGGTGTAAGGTGTAGGTTTTAGGTCCTAGGGGATTGAGTGGCTGCAACAAACGGCAGCTCTTAGAAGGTCCTGTAGTATGAAGACAGCCATGTAGCGGATTTTTGGTACAGAAATATCTACTTACATACAGACAAGCAAACATACAAATGTAAACATACAAATGTATATAAACATACGAATGCATATACGTACATACATGCATACATACAGATGTCCATGCATATGCATATTCAGCATAGGTAGGTAGATTCAGGTAGATACAGGCGAACGCACATGTGTGTCTTGAGCGGCTGCACATGCGCACACTCTTTATGTATCCAGAACTGCCCAAGTATTTATATATATATATATATATGTATGGTACCATATAAGACTTACATTTGCAGGTCAATGTATGCATGTATGCATGTGCACACACATTATATATATATAGATATGCTCACATATGTTTGTGTATGCATGCAAGAATGTCTGTCTGGCTGCCTGTCTGTCTTTCTGTCTGTCTGGGTGTATGTATGCGTGTTTACATGTATGTTTAGATGTAGATTCACATGTTTATGCATGCATATAGGTGCATGTTTTTACATACATATTCACATGTTTATGTGTTTATGTATGTAAGCATGCATATGTGTATATATATATATACATGTAGTTAGACTCGCACAAGTATGCATGAAAAGCATGTGTACATATATATGTCTACACACGCGAAGAAAATGTGTGTATGTATGTATGCATACATCTGTATATGTATATGCATATGTGTATGTGTAGTATGATCAGCTATGTATGATGTGTGATGTCTGATGTATGTCTATATATATATACACATAGGTTGATGTGTTGACATATACTTGCATGTACATATGCACACGTATATACATTCGTACATATGTGTGTGTACATTATTTATGTACATATATATGTATGAGTATTAGTATATACACATATGTGTATCCATTCATTTTTTTGTGCCTGCATGCCCACGCACGCACACACACACACAACATACACACACACACACAACATACACACACATACACACACACACACACACAGACACACACACACACACGCGCGCACGCACGCACACACGTGTTGCCGATCAAAAAACGGATAAGCAAACAGCCAATCAAACAGGCAACTCGGTATGGATTTGTGTGTGTGTAAATGCATGTATGTGTGAACGATTGAATGAATGAATGTATGTGTGTATATATATATATATACATGCACATGATCTTACCCATCGCCGCTGATGCGTTCCCAGAGCAAGGCTTCAACAGCTGGCTTCGGCACCCTCTTCGGCGCTGCAGCGAAGTCCACTGTTGGCCATTGTGTTGGAGCGGGCTGCTGCACGGTCTTTGTTGTCATGCTTATTGTCGTTCTGAAATGGTCTCTTCACTCATATTTGGCCATATTTGTTAGACCTACTGCCTTGTTCTTATGCTGTAGATTGTCAGTGATCTGCGATAAAGGAGGGCACACCTTTCGCGTCGATGCCATGATCATGGATGCCATTAGTACTTGTCATGTAATCCATCAGGAGACCCTGCAATGCAAGCAAAAGGTCGCTGTTCTGGCGACCGAGGTGGCCCCTCAACTGCAGTGCTGGACACACAAGTCCTTTCTTACAGCGGTTCGTGTTCCAGTTGTGCGTTCTCCTAGGGTGCACGACATTTCTCCTACATTTTCTGATATGCTGTCGCACACGGTTTCACCGAACGACTTCCTGGCTAAGTTAACATTGGTGATATAGTAATTCATCTCATGTTTTCCTTGTAATGTTAGTTTAAGGTAAGTTGGCTCCAACCCTACCACTACCTTCTCAATCCTCCGAAAGACCCTATTTGACCATTCTTCTTTCGCCTGCGCTTTGCAACAGCGGCAAGCTCTGTTTCAGTGACCGACGGCAACAATGCAACGGATCTTCTAAATGATTGCCAATCGCACGATCCAAACCTTGTGACAAAGTCCCATACTTACAGCTTATCGCTACTTACAGTAGCGTTGATTGATGCCTCTTCGTTTCCTGAGGCGGCAGTGGCCCTCTTCCGTGCCTGGGACGTGGCTCAGCTCCGGGACCTTGCAGCGCCAAGCAACATAGCTGCAACTTTTCTCGTCGGGGTGGCGGAACTGGAGGTCGTACGGCTTGAGGGGGTGGTTTTCCAGAAGAGTTTTTCGAAAGTGTTAGCAGGCTGCCGGTGTCTCGTGATGTGCTCCAGTTCAACTCCTTTTTCTCTGGTGCCGTTGCACTGACCTGTAGTGGCACGCGGCGAAGCGGCTTGAGGATGCTCCTGGAGACCACTCAAAGAATCGGGCACCAAGCATGTTCTCAGACGTCCTTGAACTTGATGTTGCGCTGGTTTTCAGAAGGCTTAGAAACGATGGCAGTTTCATGACATGTTGCTTGGCCAAGGCCACGCATTGGGTAAGCGGCTGATGGCAACTTGGACATCTTATGCCTCCGAGCATTTTTTGGAAGCCGGAGCCATGAAAGTAATATAGCGGCCTGAATAATTCGAGTAGGGTGTTGGTGTATGTTATAACTTATAATTACTATAGTTACAATAAGGAACCCCCAAATAGGATAGGTAATTATTACGGCCCCTATATTAGCCGTCTAAGGTCGTGGTTTACGTCCCAATTAGTACGGCACCCTTATACCGCATTTCGTTGTTTTCTGTATAAACTGGATCCTAAACGGGACCCTAGTTTAGAGGACTTCCCATGAAAGCCGATCCCCAGCTGCAACCCCACAGCAGATCGACTGCCTCAGCCCAATCGCTCCCTGAATAAAAGCTCAACGCGCCCAACCATGCGATGCGGCAATGGCTTCGTGAACTAATGTAGGGGCATCAATAATTACCTATACTATTTTGGGGGTGCCTTATCATAGTTATAGTATAATATACCCCCAAACCCTAGTCTAATGATTAAGGCCCCTCCAATTACCATGCAGCAACGGCTTCGTGAATTAGAGGGTTTCGGATGCAGCAGACAATAGGTCGCAGTTTTTCATCCTGGTGTCGACTGTCTTGACAAAGATACGCTTTCGGGGTTTAGGAGTTTAGGGTTTAGGGTTTAGGGCGGCTTCTTGGCAGAGGCACACCCACGGCCCGAAAACCTTGACGGCAGTCGAGAGTATTTTTCCAAGAAATTGAAGGCGAGAACACGAGCCAGACACTGCGATAAGAAGTAGTAAAAGAATCCCCTGAACCCTAAGCCCAAAGTTCAAAACCTAAAACCCCAAACCCGAAACCAAGGCCCCGTACCCTAAACCCGAAACCCTAAACCCTCCCTAAACCCTAAACCCCTTACTTCAGCAACGGCAACAACATCTGCCCCTTTGCTCAGACCACCGTGGAGCAAGGGCTCGTGGCCCAGGCCGGGGCGGGGGATCGAGATTCGGATTGAGCGCTTCAGAAGTTTGAGAGTTTAGAGGTTTCGGGCCTTCAGGGTTTCGGGCCTGGGTGGGTTTAGGGCTTGGGCTTTGGGTTTCGGGCCTTCAGGGTTTCGGGCCTTGTGGGCTTTGGGTTTAGGGCCATTTGGGTTTAGGGCCTAGGGCTTGTATATATGATGGGTTCAGGTCTTCGGTCGCTTTGTGTCTTGACGTGGGAGTGGATTTTTTTTCAGAGGCCGGCTGCCTCCCTGACGACAACTTGACCGGCTGGGCCATGATCAGCTCCTGTGGCTTGGAGTGTCAAAGTTATCGGGGGGCAGTGCTGCCCGCAACCCCCCCTGACAAGCTTTCTTCGAGATGAGTGCATAAGTTTTAAAGTTTAGTGTTCATAGAGTGTTCCGTCGGGAAATCTTTGGAGCTGTTGCAAGCATGCTTTGCAAAGTCGGTGATCTCGGCCTTTGGGTTAAGTCGAGCCGATAGACTTGGGCTGAAACGGTTCTTCATACCGGGATGATAAGACACATTTTCTGGTACCTCTCACGTCGCCCAGCCCATTCTAGAATCCTGCTCGATAAAGCTGATCTAAAACGCAGCCTCAAATTCCCAAGGCGCTTCGCGCAAGTACAACGACACTGCTTTGCTCTGTTCTGGAGTTTCCCTTGTTCACCCCACTCTTTTCGAGGCTTACCATCCAAAGCTTCGGAAGAAGCATCACGCCACCTGCCCTAACACCCAGCCCGAAGCACTCCTCCACCCCAGGCCCCAAATTCAGATCTCCAGCCTAGACCCCACATCGCGAGCTGACTGGGGAGATTTCAGGAGGATACTCTGTTTTCATATTTTGCCATCAGGAGTGATGTACCTGAAACCGTATAAACCCTACATACATGCTTACCTGCATGCGTACGTACATACGTTCGTGCGTACGTATGTATGTTTTTATGTATGTATGTGTGTATGTATGTATGCATCTATGCATCTATGCATCTATGTATGTATGTACGTATGTATGTATGTATGTATGTATGTATGTAGGCATGGACGCATGTATGTATGCATGTATGTATGTATGTATGCACGTATGTATGTAGTAAAACCATATACATCGATGACATGTAGATAGATAGATTATAGATAGGTTGATAGATAGATGGAGATAGATAGATAGATGGGTAGAGAATATTTATCTATATCTGTATAAGTACATACATACATAAACCTGCTATATATATATATGTATATATATATATATAGATAGATGTGTAAAGGCTTATATGTGTGTGTACAGATAGATGTAACTGCAAAGATGTGGCTCGCAGGGCTTCTGCTGCTGGGCGCCGAGGGCCCCACAAGCGCTCCGCGCGGCCCTGGTCTGACCCTGAAGCCGCGCAGCTTTCAGGAGCCCCAGCCCGGGTT